GCGCCCACCCAACCGGATTTAACTAATTTCTAAACTCACTCTAAAAACCTGTTGTTGGGATACACCCGACTCAGCTGCTTATTTGAGCTGACCTAAAACGCACAATCCTCCTCATGTCTGAGAGAAAAATCAATGGCAAAATTTGACAAGCAGAGAAAGAGTTGGCAAGCTGTGAGGAGGAGTTTTAATGCCATGGGTGCCGTTAAGCCCTAATTAATGAAGCGTGGAGACGAGCAGGAGAGGGTGCCGAGGCAGAGGGGTGTGTGGGAGGAGTGTGCGTGGGGTCTGCTGACCTTGGGTTCCTCTGGGACAGGAGCATTTGTAGGTATTGATCAGGTCAATGCAGGTGCCCCCATTCTGGCACGGCTGGGAGGAGCACTCATTGATCTCCACAGAGCAGTTGGTCCCCAAGTATCCTGGCATGCACTGCAGRGACAGAGGGAGGAACGAGGGAAGAAGACACACAAGAAGAAAGAAGAAGAAAGCAGGAGGAGAGTGGGGAAAGTTTAATCAATGTCTGACATGAAACAAAGAGTTTTTGTTTACCTGGCTGTTTTCTGGAATTCATCTTCCCAAGGCCAGCATATCCTTTACTCAAGGGGAGATTAACATAACTGAGCTGTTTGTTTTCTATTTATAAATAGTTTTTTAATAAGAGTTCTGCTGAGAGTAGAGTCGATGTATGATTAGACAGAATAGAAACAACACTAAACCACTGACAGCTGAGGAGGATAACACCAGTCGTTACTTTACAAAAAACCTCGTAGCTGGAAACTTTAGGCCTTGGCATCCATGAGGTCGCTTCTTTGATATGTAACACCCACCTAGATATTGTTTCAGACAAGGCACATCCAACCAACAGAACAATGCAGCCACCATAGAGCAACTGCTCAGGAATGGCTTAGGGAGCACAACAAAAAGCCCAGATTGTAATCGGATCTAGCGTTAATTGAACTCCGATGCAACAAAAAGTCCTGGTCCCAAAAGGACACCCAACAAAGGTCCTGCATTCCTGCCCTGCTGAGTGCTGCTTCAAGCACACAATGTTAGCTTACACAATATTAGGATTTAAAGGACCGATTACTGTAAATTTACAATTAAAATTAGGGATTTGTGCAAAATAAATCAAGTTACTAAAATAAAYCAACAGATTTAAGTTGTAAGTATCTGCAGAATATAAACAAGTGAATCCAACACAGAACAGGGTGCACCGATCTGGTTTCGGATTAGAGTTGTTACCTTGCAGGTATATCCACCCAGGAAGTCGGTGCAGGTGGCTCCATTCTGGCAGGGGTTCGGCGTACATTCGTCCACCTGCTCCTCGCAGTAGCTCCCACTGTAGCCAACCTGACAGTGGCAGTAGTGAACGTTTCCTGCATCCAGGCACTGACCCGAGTTTTTACACAGCTGGGAAACATCCACTCCTGGGCAGAGATGGCAAGATGAAGATTAGTTAAATTTCTAAAACACTAATTCATACTAAAAAATTAAGAAATTAGAATACTAATGAACAAAAGACATGTAAATATTTGTATTTAAAGGAGACTTATTATGCTTTTAAATCATTCAGTTGGGGTTTATATAAAGTGGAACTGCAACGCTTTGGTCAGAAATCCTCCACAAGCCCCTCTTTCACCCTTTTTCTGAAGTGTGTCTCAGATGAACTCATTTTGAGGCTGCCTCTTTAAAGCCAAACAAGACACTTCACACCTCACCTCACCTCCAGCTTCCAGAGCGGTTCATTCTAGTTTGATAAAGTGGGTTTAGACTATCTAATTAAAAGATGTCAACAACGGGAGGCTTTTCCATCCAGTCTTACATGTTGGAACAGTTTATTTGGTAAGTCTGGACCTTATTTGGCAGTTCTGTCACAAATACTGTGGCATAATAGTTCACAAAACATCATAAAAAAAATCTGAAAACTGATCAGTTTGAAAATATGACCCAAACAGAATATAAAGATATCTATGAAGCACTGGGAGAGACTAAATTCAACTTTTCTGCCTCCTAGAAACTTGTCTTAGAGACAAAAGGTATTTAACAGCTAAAAAAAGTGGATTTTGAATGATATGTCCCCTTTAAAACAAAATTCAGAGGAGTTGCTATCTCTGTCTTACCTCTCTGTTTAGCTGCCACCTCACAGGAAACACTTGGCACGTCACAATAAAGGCCCGTCCAGCCAGTCTTACACCCACAGCTGTATGTAGTTCCTGTCTGCCAGCAGGTTCCCCCGTTTTTACATGGTGACGTTTCGCACCAATGAACCAAGTTCTGAAACACAAAGGTGTAAGAACATCAGCTAAAAAACTCTTACTTTGATTTTAGTGTGAATGAAGATTTATTTTTATTTTCCCATGTTTTTTATTTGTTTAGTATCTTACAACTTCTGAAAACTTTATGCCTTTTTAGCCATTCCTGCTGTATATCAAAATGCAGTGGTGGGCAGCACTAATCTAAATATTAGTTGAACTAACCCTAAAGCACTAACTCAAATATTTAGGTCCCCTTTTTCTAAAGCACTAATGTAATATTAGTTGAACTATCCCTAAAGCACTAACTCAAACATTTAGGTCCCCTAATTCTAAAGCACTAACGTAATATTAGTTGAACTAAACCTAAAGCACTGACTCAAATATTTCGGTCCTCTAATTCTAAAGCACTAACGTACTGAAAATTTTAGCAAAAGTTAATTCTAAAGCACTAAAATAATCTAGTTGATGAAACATTCTTCAGTTAACATATTTACTGTGTGCAGAATGTTGTTACTTTGTGCCCTTGGTGGGCCAAATGGGAGTCACCCGCAGGCCAACTTTGGCCTGCAAGCCTTGACTTTGACACATGTGACTTTGTAGATAAGTGACACGCATATGAGCAAAATGTATGACAGCTTTCACCCTCAACTGTGAACAATAATGTTGAGCAATTACATTTAAAGACCTCAGTTAGTGCTTCTAAATTTAGCCTATAAATTTAGCATGTGCTAATCCACTAATTAATTAAAAAAATAGCAAAAGCCCTAAAGCACTAATCAAGAAATTAGTTCCCCTATTAGTGCTTTAGGGGAACTGTGCCCACCACTGTCAAAATGTTTACCCTATCTAGGAGATGAATGCAATGGTTTTTGTTTTYGTCAGTTTTAAACTTTGAAAATCTTTCACTATACTTTATTTACAAATCTCTTCCCCACAGGAATATATCAAGCTCTCTACATTCCTATRTACAATCTCTCCCTCCTTCTACCTGACAACTGAGTCCAGTGTAGCCATGCGGACAGGTGCATTTGTAGGTGCCGTAGCTGTCCTGGCAGGTGCCTCCATTCTGACAGGGTCTGGAGTCGCACTCRTTGATGTCATGCTGACAGTAGCTCCCAGTGAAGCCTGGTGGACATAAACAGGTGAAGGTGTTGATCCCGTCCACACAGGTGCCGCCGTTGAAGCACGAGCTGTGGGGGGAAAAAAGTATTTGAAAAAAAAAAAAAGAAACAAAGGTGGTTTAGAATTATTCTGCAGCTTTTAAGGAAAGACTGAGTAAATCAATGAAACATTATCTGAGCTGCAGGCAAATTCAAAGCTGATTTATCCACAGAGAGTTCTCGAAGAATAAACACTTCTGTTTTTACAGGAATGCCCTGCTTCGTGATCAAACTTCTCACACACGGCAGCAACCACGCAAAGGAAACTACTTTTTATTTCAACTCCTCAGTCACACATGAAGTCATTATCCAAGCTCACTTTCTTCTAATTGATTATAGGACAGCTGAAATACAAGATTTGTTGCTGTTAATCCATACTCCACCACAGGGGGCAGCAGTGGACAAGAAAATGAAATTTATAGGGAGACTCAAAGTGAACCTGTTGATCAGATCACATTTCTTTACTCCTCAGCTGTCCAATTAAAGTCAAATCTTTAATGTTGGAAAGAATAATCCTTGTCTCTAATTGACTCTGTGTGAGCTTTGTACCTTTCTGTGCAGTCAGGAGTGTTATTTTCACAGTGGATCCCACTGAAACCGGGCGGGCAGGTGCAGGTGTAGCTGTTAACGCAGTCTGTGCAGTTGGCTCCGTTCCGACACGGGTTGCTCTCGCACTCGTTGATGTCCTCCTCACACTTTGGACCCCGGAAGCCAGGCAGGCAGGTGCACAGGAAGCTGTTCACTTCGTCCTTACAAAGGCCTCCGTTGCTGCAGGGGTCTGTGAGAGGGGAGTTTCACACTCAGCTGTGTCCTCTCAGTTTTGTGTCTACGCTATAATCCAGAAAATAAAACGTACTCGGCTTGCAGTCGTCAACGTTGGTCTCACAGTTGCGTCCTGTGAAGCCCGGCTTGCAGTCACAGCGGTAGCTGCCTAACGTGTTCTGGCACGTTGCTCCATTCAGACACGGATTCTTCACACACTCTTTAATGTCCACCTCACATGTTTGGCCTATAGACAAACAGAAAGTAAATGTCAAATCCAGAGGTGGCTAGTAACTAGTTACATTTACTTGAGCA